TCCTCTCAGGATCTTGGGCACGTATGCACACACGCTCAGTGTGAGTTTAAGCCACCGGGTCCAGGACTCGAACCATGGTGACAATGTGATAGTCCAGCAACATAGCCATTACGCTAACTGCTGGTCCCTCATTATTATTATTGTTTTTTATTTGATCAGAGAGAGAGGAAAAGTGAGAAAGCAAGCTGCTGTGTCCAAGACTCGAACTGCGATGACCATGTGGGAGTCCAGAACCCTAACCACTACATCTCCTGCTGGCCCCCAGCATGATTTTCAAGCCACCAGATCTGAGACTCAGACCATGACCAGCCATGTGGGAGTTGACCATGGCAGCAGGGGTGCTGGCAGTTCGGGCGCGGCGCCGCGTGTGGAGCGTGAGGGGCGTGAGGGCCGCTCAGGCCCGCGAGTTCGGCTCCAGCCAGCCTGATGATCTCGACCGGGGCGCAGGCTCAATCCAAGAAGCCTGCGGAGCCTTTGGGAAGAGGGAGCAAGCCTAGGAGCCTTACTTCCAGGCACAGACTAAGCAGCAGCTGGCAGCCACGAGGAAGAGCTCGCCCATCAGAAGGAGATTGAGCATCTGCAGAAGGCGATCCAGCAGCACAAGGGGAAGATCAAAGTGCTAAAACAGGATGATTAAGCACACACAGTCCTGCAGAATGGCACACTGCCGTGTAGGCCTGGGTCTGCTTTGATTCAGGGTGGTCTGTGTGCTGCCGACAATATAATAAATTGTCCTGCTGACCTATGGGGGGGAAAAAAAAAGATAATTCCTTAAAAAAAAAAAAACTCACATCGGGCAAGTGTGTGTGCGTGCCCAAGATCCCGAGAGGAGAATGGAGGAGAAGGGATTGCTGCATGGCCATGCCCCGGGGGGGTGATTTCTCGATTTCTGTCTCTCTGTCTCTCCATCGAGCGCACGCACCTTACAGCAAAAACATCTCTTAAAAAATAAGTAGGAAAGAGGATGAGGAAGAATCAGCACTTTCTGGGGTTTGGGCTCAGTAGGCCGATGGTGGTGCTGTTGACAATGGGAAGGAGAGCGTGTGTGGCACGTGTGTGTAGAGTTTATGTGTGTGCTCTGCTTGTGCCATGGTGAGTTTGAGAGGCATCTTGGGTGTCCAGCTTAGAGAGTTGAATGTAGGAATGACAGAAGAGGCTGGAGCTGCAAGGAGTTTGAGAGCCCTCGGCATGTGGATGGTATTTTAGGCCACAGGGTTGACTGCTCACCTTGGAAGTGAATGCCGATAAAGAGCAACACCAGGCTCTGTCCAACAGGGTGCCACTTTCCCAAACCTCCCATACCAGTGCCCCCAGCTCTGCCTGTTTCCTGGAAACCCCTGACTTCTGGTTTTCTCTCTTCCCAGGCTTATCAGAACTGGGTGAAGAAGAATGGGGCTGAGCAGACGTTGCCCACTCTGGGCCTCACCAACAACCAACTCTTCTTCCTGGGGTTTGCACAGGTGCGTTCATGAGCGCTGTTAGCCGTCCTGACATTCCCAGAGCCCTAGGAGCCAAAGGGCAAGTGCCCCTCCCATTGAGAACTCCCTGGCCCATTGGCTCATTGGCCCCTCTGCAGACGTCACCTGTAAGGAGGCGAGCTTCCTGGCATGAGTCAGGAGAGGCCAGCAGTGCTAACGGAGAATTGCTGTCTCAGGTAGATAAGAGGACAGAGTGATCACTAAGGTCCCTTCTGGTTCTGGGATTCTAGAAAGTTCTTAAACTTAAGTTGCCCTAGGTTGCCCTTTCTGTTGTCCTTCAGCTGGCAGCCTTGTCTTGGTACCCAGGGCACCAGGCCCTTAGGCTGTTTGTTCTGCCCAGGAAATGAGAGAGCTAGATTAAATCCGAGGAGTTTGCGCAGAATCCCTTGTTCAGATGAAATCTAACAGACGGACAGACCCACTGCTGAAGGGCATGCCACGGAGACAGATGGGTTTGGGGACTCATCAGTCACTGTGCGGCCCTCCTGGCTCCTTGGGATCCCAGGGCCGGAAGGAGGGTACTCACTCCCCTGCTGTTGTGATGTGGGCCGCCCGGCCTCAGGGCTCCACAGTGACCCCCTCCTCTCCCGGTTGTGCTCCTAAAGGTCTGGTGCTCTGTCCGCACACCCGAGAGCTCGCACGAAGGTCTCATCACCGATCCCCACAGCCCCTCCCGCTTCCGAGTCATTGGCTCCCTGTCCAACTCCAAGGAGTTCTCGGAACACTTCCACTGCCCGCTTGGCTCACCCATGAACCCTCATCACAAATGCGAAGTCTGGTAAGGGCCACCACGCAGAGCGCCGAGACAGAGGAGGGGAGAGGGCCGAGGAGCGGCCCTCACAGCGGTGGCCACAAGTCTGCCCCTCCATCCAGGCCTTCGCTCAGTCCCCTTGGCCACCAGGGTCCCCTTCCCTGCACTGGAGGGTTTCCAGCCAGAACCAAGCCTGTCATGGAGGTTGTCAGCATAACCCGAGATTCGATCCCCTGTGAAGACCGTTCGTCCCAGGCACACAAGCACCAACTGTAGCGGGCATTTGGGTGTCAGGCTGGTGGCTGGCCAGGCCTGGGCCCACATGACAAGGGCAGTGGGGTATAGCGCCCTGCCCACATCCAGCACCAGATACACCACAGATACCACTGTGTCAAATGCTTTAAAGATATATTTTTTGGGGAAACTATTTTTTAACATAGTGGAATACACTGGAACTCTTCAGGGAAAAAAATGCATTTGAAACACTTTTTTTTTTTTTAAACGAAAGGATTGGTATATTTATTATGTCTGCTTTTCTATGTAACCTGTGGACAAGGGAAGCCCCCTGATTTACCGCCCCTTCCCCACTCAGCACCCGGCTGGGCTGAGGCGAGGAGGCCAGGCCACCCAGCAGGTCTCCAGGTTGGAGAGCTGCCTCAGCCCTGGTTGCTTGGTGCAGAAGGAAGAGGCAAGGAGGCCAGACAGAGGGAGGAGCCAGCTTAGGGTCCTCCAGGGGTACTGCCCCCCTCAGCTTGTTGACCCCATCCCCAGAGCCCAACAACGGGAACCCCAGCAAGGATGTTCTGATCCCCAAAGCCACCCAGCAGACTGGGATCTGTGGCAGAATGAGGCCAGGTCAGGAACCCTGCAGAGCTGAGGCCCCCACCTCTCTGAGGGATGTATATCACTATGCCATAGATGTCCTCTTTTGATCCCTCTTCTTATGGCTGGCCCTGTCTTTCCCCGGGCCCCTTTCAGCCCCCCCCCCCCCATCCTAACCTCTTCAAGATCTGCCTTGCTGACCCTCTTTCCTGGGGCCAGCCCCCTGCCCCAAGTTCATCTCCACCACCCAGCCTGGGCCTGGCTTCCAGGACCCGTTCTCTCGTGCCTTACCTGAGGCTGCGGCCCCTGGGCTCCATCCTGCCCCCAGAGGCCCCCTGGCCTCCTCCATGGAGCCCCCAAGTGTCCTGACTGGAATGCAAGGCCATACCCCTGCCCCACGGACTCTGTCCAAGGAGTTTACTCGCCATTTCCACAGGGCTGCCCTTGCAGCAGCCCCACATTGCTGGCCTGTGGGTCAGGGGGCATAGGACCCCAGATGTCTGAGCCCCAGGGATGGAGCAGGAGAGTACCTGGAGATGGGCCCGCTGGAGCCATCATGGTTAGAGTGGCTGGATCCCGTTGGCCAGCTGTGTGCTTTGAGTCACAGCCCCACTGGCTTGAGAGAAACATACCAGCCACGTGTGAGTGCCCCAACTCCTGAGAGGAGAGGAGACGGGATTGTGGCGTGACCATCCCCCCGGGGTGTGCTTTCTTCCTTTCTGTCCCTCTGTCTCCACTGAGTGCACGTGCTCTCTAGTAAAATTAAAAAGTAAGTGAAGGCAGTGCTTAGAGCTAGACAGACTCCTCTCTTTCAGGGAGACTCTGGGGCAAGGCTCCCTACCCCAGTCTAGCCTACGGTGTTGGGCTCCTGGGGGAGCACTAGCCCCCACTGCCGTCCTGTACACGTCCCTACAACAGAGGGGACTGCCAGTGCTCCGGCTTCCCCAGCCCGGCAGCTCAGCCCTGGAAGCCCCACAGGCCCCTGCCCAGGAAGCCACAGTCCACCTTGCCCCAGGAGCGAGGCAGCTCCCCCACTACCCTGGCAGCTCCGGAGCAGCCTCAGAGCTGGGCAGGGGTGTGGGTGTGGGCTCCAGGTGAAGGCCCCGGTCTCCACAGTGGCAGGCCTGAGGCTCCTCTGCGGGAAGATGGGATAAACCAGAGGAGCCGGAGCCCAGAGTAGGCCCCATGCCTCTTCCACGTGGCGGAGGGCCTTTCCCTGCCCTGGCATCCTCCCTGCACCTCCTTCCTTCCTGCTTTCCCCGTGGGGGAGTGCCAGAGGCTGGGGGCCAGCTGGAGGGGATGTGACAGGGTGACTACACACATGGCACCTGGCGTGCTGGTTGGCAGGGCTGGGGAGAGAAGGGCACCCGGGCCGGGAGGGATGGAAAGAAGGGAAGCACCTCACTACCCCCTCCAGAGCTACCACTATCACTGTCCCCCTCCGGAGCTACCACTATCACTGTCCCCTCCGGAGCTTTGAAAGGTGAAGGTGAGATGGGCAGCTGCCCGGGAGCCTCAGGGCTGGCACCTCTGTGGGTACAGGGACTGGGGACTGGGGCCGGGGTCTGTTTTTTGTATTGCTACATTTCGTGCTACTGTAGTTTCGCGTGGCACTATTGTAATTCAAATAAAGTACTTGTACCGCGAACACGTGTCTGAGTGTCTGTCCTCCTGGGATGGTGTGTGTCCTGTGAGCCTACGGCCCCAACCCAGCACTGAGCCGTCCACCCTAACCTCACCGGAGCCGGCCATACCTGCCTCTAGACAGAGCCCTCAGCCCCTGACAAATGGCAAAAGGTCACTCAGTCCCGTTGCTACCCCAGCTACTCACCCTTCATCCATAATTGGAATATCATTGTGTGAGCGCCCCCTCCTGGTGAGAATGAGGCATGTCGCCACCTGGGCCCAAGGGGGCCACTTGGTCAAAATGTTTCCATTGTCCTGGAGCAAAGAAGTTTGCCATGCATAGCCATGGCAGGTAGCAGTAGGGAAACCTAAGGCAGGGTCTCGGACAGGCCTCCTTATGTTCTATTTAGAATGTTCTCTCGGGACCAGCAGTTAGTGTAATGGCTATGTTGATGGACTCCCACATAGTCAACAGTGGTTCGTGTTCCGGCCCCAGTGGCTTAAACTCAGGCCGGGCGTGTGTGCACTCATGCCCAAGATCCCGAGAGGAAAATGGAGAAGGGATTGTGGCATGGCCATCCCCCCTGGGGGGGGTGATTTCTCACTTTCTGTCTCTCTCTCTCTGTCTCTGTCTGTCTGGCGAAAGCACGCGCCTTATAGCAAAAAACTCTTTAAAAAAAAAAAAAAAAGAATGTTCCCTCTCTCCTCTTTGCTTGATAAACTCCTATCCATTCTTCAATGCCCAGTTAAGCATCACCTCCTCTAGGAAGCCCTTCCTGACTTCACAGTCTGGCCGTGGGCTTACACAGACCTTCTGCTCCTACCAATGTATTAGTTTCCTGGAGCTGTCAGAACAAAGGCCCACAACCGTGGCTCTGTGCACACACATAAATGTATGTGAGAAAGATGAGCACCTGCCACGTGGTCTGGCCATACCACACTCCTCCCCGTCCTCCTGCAAAAAAATTTTAAAAAAGGGAAGTTTTTAGAGATTTTTGCTATAGGGCACCAGTGCTCACTGGAAAGACAGAAAGCGAGAAATCACCCCCCGGGGGGGATTGCTATGCCACATTCCCTTCTCCGCCATTCTCCTCTCGGGATGTTAGGCACACACACACACATGCCTGGCATGAGTTTCAAGCCAGTGGGTCCAGGACTTGAACTGTAGTCAACTATGTGAGAGTCCAGTGATATAACCATTATGCTATCTGCTAGTATCAAAATAAATAATTCTTAAAAAAGAAACCCTCATAGGGGGCCAGCAGGTGGTGTGGGTTAAGAGTGTTAGACTCCCACGTGACTGACCACAGTTCAAGTCCTGGACCTGGCAGCTTGGTTTCTCACTTTCCCTCTTTACAGGTTTTTGATCTGAGGAACTGGGTGAATCGTGATATTTACTGGGGCTGGAGATTTCTGGGGGAGAGAGGTTTTGGAGGGAGTGAAGGTGGTATGGAAACCTTGCGTTCAGTCTGCATGTGTCAAGTGTGAGATGCCTGATAGACTGTGGAGACATAAGAAAGCAGTTAAAGATTCAAGTTTGATGTTCAGGGGGAAGGTCAAGGGCTAGAGATAAAAATTTGGGAGGGTGGTGGTGATGTGGTGATTGAGGCGACAGGATTCCACCTGGCTGACTGCACAGTTCTAGTCCTGGGCATGGCGATTTGAAAGACATGCTGGACACATATGTGTGCATGTCCCAAATCCTGAGAGAATGGAGGAGAACGGAGTGCGGAGTGGACATCCCTCCCAGGGGGGTGATTTTTCACTTTCTGTCTCTGTCTCTCTGGTAAGCACAGTGTGTGCTATAGCAAGAATCTTTCTTAAAAAAGGATTTATTTATTTATTATTATTAATTTGCTATAGGACATGTGCATTCACCAGAGAAAGACAGACAGGGAGAGAAGGCAAGTCAGAAAGCAAGCCTTCAGGCCCGGATCTCAAACTGCGGTGGACCCTCTGAAGTCTAGTGCCTTAACTACCATGACATCTTCTAGCTGCGAAAGGAACACTTTTTTTTAAAGAATTCTTTTATTTTAACTTTATTTATTTATTTATTTGACCAGAGAGAGAGAGTGAGAGGAAGAGAGAGAAAATAAAGTAAGCCACCATGTCTGGGACTCAAACCACAGCTGGCCACGTGGGAGTCCAGCATCCTCAACCACCATGCCACCTACCCCAGATGCTTTATTTTTTTTTTAAGAATTTTTTTTTAATTTTATTCATTGTCATTATTTTATTTTATTTTTTCAAAGTTGACCAGAGAGAGAGAGTGAGAGGCAGAGAGAGAAAATAAAGTAAGCCACCATGTCTGGGACTCAAACCACAGCTGGCCACGTGGGAGTCCAGCATCCTCAACCCCCATGCCACCCCCCCCAGATGCTTTATTTTTTTTTTAAGAATTTTTTTTTAATTTTATTCATTGTCATTATTTTATTTTATTTTTTCAAAGTTGACCAGAGAGAGAGAGTGAGAGGCAGAGAGAGAAAATAAAGTAAGCCACCATGTCTGGGACTCAAACCACAGCTGGCCACGTGGGAGTCCAGCATCCTCAACCCCCATGCCACCCCCCCCAGATGCTTTATTTTTTTTTTAAGAATTTTTTTTTAATTTTATTCATTGTCATTATTTTATTTTATTTTTTCAAAGTTGACCAGAGAGAGAGAGTGAGAGGCAGAGAGAGAAAATAAAGTAAGCCACCATGTCTGGGACTCAAACCACAGCTGGCCACGTGGGAGTCCAGCATCCTCAACCCCCATGCCACCCCCCCCAGATGCTTTATTTTTTTTTTAAGAATTTTTTTTTAATTTTATTCATTGTCATTATTTTATTTTATTTTTTCAAAGTTGACCAGAGAGAGAGAGTGAGAGGCAGAGAGAGAAAATAAAGTAAGCCACCATGTCTGGGACTCAAACCACAGCTGGCCACGTGGGAGTCCAGCATCCTCAACCCCC